ATGAGCAACATCATAAAAAATAAAAATAAACAACGAAATAAAAAACAATAAAAAACATAATAAAAATCCATAACATTCATAGCTAACAATAATTTCCGTTAGCACCATATATTCGTTTATATTATTTATTTCCATTTAGTTTATATTATTAGGATTCACTTGGATTATATACCAACGGATACCTGTATATATATATATATATATATATATTTATATATATATATATATATATATATATATATTGAGGAGGCACGGTGGAGTAATGGATATATATATATATATATATATATATATATATATATATATATATATATATATATATATATATATATATATATATATATATATTCCAGTACATTCACTTACGTGCTAATACACTCGGGAAAGGTGTGAATCCGCTTCTTCTGCCTCCAGCTATGGGTAAATAGCAGGACAGGCTGGGTTCTATAGCCTTGGATGGCAACTGGTCTAGGAGAAGGACAACTCCGTATTCAAACCCGGAGTGGAGCCCCTAAAGCGGATGAAACGGCACTTTGTGCTACCTTCCGGCAACTCCTGCAGCCGCGCTGGTACCAAACTGTATTGGTTTATCCTCTCCTTTGGACTCTGCTAGCAAGGCCGACGATATATATATATATATATATATATATATATATATATATATATATATATATGTTATGGGACCTTACCCATAATAACATAATGGACTATTCCATACGTAATAAATACTGCGCCTCAAGAGGAAGCACGGAGTTCAGTCTGAAGTCTGGAGTGAGGTCCGTCAGGAGTCTGTCTGTCAGTCAGAGCGAGTCAGTGAGTCAGTCGAGTCAGTCCGAAACAGAGTCGCGTTCAGACAATTACTACAAAACCTAACACTACTAACACTTTCTACCTCTCTGTATATATTCCTGTTTGTAATATATCTGTTATTCCATATCCGTATTCGAGTTCTTCTTTATTGGTTCTACCTTGCACTATCACCGTGGTACAAGGAACCGGACCATAACAATATATATATATATATATATATATATATATATATATATATATATATATATATTACCTCACTTTATAGTTTGTCGATTTTTGTTACTCCCAGGTTAAAATGTAAATTCTAAGATCGTTCATGGCAGAAAATTTTTAATTTAAAATAATTTATCAGTTTAACTATAAAAGCTATCAACAAAATTGCTTCACAAAAGTCACAAAAGATCAAATAGAAAATGATTAACACAGCCCAGTTATTTTTTAAATTCGTTTTTTAAAGCTGAATATGAACATTGAGATATTAATTAAGCAATATATAAGACAAATGCTGAAAGTGCATTTATTTTATGCCAAAATGTTCAATTATGTTTAGGTTTTCAAGCGGAAAGAAGCATAAGTCTATTTTAATGTTTATCTGTGTAATAGATTACTAATCTAAACATGGATATTTATAATAAAAAAGAAGCAACAACTGTTCCCAGCTGTTTCATCTTTCTAGTTTGAGTTTATTCAATTTCTATATAATAGCTTTATTGTATTTTTGCTATTTTTTATTGTCATTAGCTTCCGACAATATTTCAATTCATTGCGTTTCAGACTTTCGTTCTCTTTTAGACAAACAATGTTGGCTGCATTTTTAAAAAAAAAAATGTCTTTTTTGGCGCGGCAAGGCACACACACACATGTCGAAGTGGCAGATACTAGATGTATTTGCTCGATGGATGCACATACACACAAACACATTAACAGACACACGCAAACACGCTTATATATATATATATATATATATATATATATATATATATAAGGGTAATGGTCAGAGTTGAATCAGGCCAGAAAACAATAGTATTAAAAAGTGCTCAATTCATCTGTAAAAAAAACAAAAGTAAAAATAACATGTAGAGCTTTTAACTTTGAAAATCTAGAGGTCAGTTGAATCCACTACCTTGGTTTCGACCTTACGGTGTCCTCAGGCGATTTTTATATTATGACCCCTTAATGTTTTTTTTATTTTTTAAATAAAACTAAAGAAGAAAGAAGAGAAGAGAAGAAAAGCAAGTGTATTGTAAATGTATCGGTCATCATTTCAACTAGCAAATCTTTGGCAACAAATTACTTAAGCATGTGTGGAATTTAAAAGAAAAAAAAAGAGATCCGATTGTAAAGTGGAAAAGCCTTACAACAATCACAACATTATTTGCAACCTGTGCCAACAGGAAAAAATTAGCCATTATGACATTTCCGGAACCAAAAAACCTTTTAAACCAAAAGTCTGAGGTCTTCAGTCCTTGCTTACATATTAGAGAATTTCTCTTAAACGCATATGCCGTTGGATAAAATAATATACAGTAAATTTCAATTTACCCCCACCTATATACACTTCTTCTTCTTCTTCTTCTTCTTCTTCTTCTTCTTCTTCTTCTTCTTCACATCCTCCTCCTCCCTATCACACAACGTCGTGCGTTTGTTTATTTATTTTTGAAAATAATAGTATAGTGTTCATTAGGTTTCTTTTTTAAAATAAAGCGTTAAGAGGTCATTTGATAAAAAACGCCTGAGGACACCGTAAGATTGAAACCAAGATAGCGGATTCAACTGACCTTCTGATTTTTAAAGAATATTTGATGCTCACATTCAACGTGCCATTAAGAAAATGCACGATTCGCACAAAATATTCTTAAACAACAAAAATAGTCCATCAGAAAAGCGCATATATCAGCAATGTAAGCGGGAAGTGCAAAATGCTCTCAGAAAAATGAAAGAATTTCGGTGGTCTGCAAAGGCTGTGGAAATCCAGGCGGCAGCTGACGGCAAAGATTCTAAAGCATTCTATGAAGGCCTTAAAAAGGTGTACAGCCCACAAGGAAATGGAATTTCACCTGTTATGTTGTATGACGGCAACACACTGCATACAGACAAGAAGGAAATTATATCACGATTGAAAGAACAATTTGAAAATGTCCTTAATTCCACCTCTGTCATTGTTTCAATTCATCAGCGACCCTAGAAAATATGATATTCCCCTACGAAATTTTTAAATATGGTGGAAAGACTCTGGTTAAAATGCTCAAGGAGTTTCTTAAGCAGAGTCTTTAAAAAATCATATGGAAGATTGGTTCTGTTCCACAGGACTACAAAGATGCTTGCATAAAACATTTGTTCAAGAACAAAGGTAAAAATGTTGTATGTGATAATCCACTTGGCATTGCACTTCTAAGTATTGCTGGCAAAATTCTCGTTCATTCGTCTATGAGAATTTCATGGGATTTCACTGAAAACGAAAATCACTGTCTATCTGGCAGTCGTTCTCACCACACTTCTTTATCGGTCAGAATCGTGGACGCCATACATGACACACATCAATCAACTTGATGCTTTTCATAAACGCTGTCTTCGTTCAATATGCGGTTATACACGGCAGGACAAAATCTCTAACCCTGATCTTTTCATCAAATATGGCGTCTGTGGTATTGAATCATTTCTGATGCAATTACAGTTCAGATGGGCTGGTCATGTCATCAGAATGAGTGATGATCGGATGCCGAAGAATCCTCATGTATAGCCAACATTTTCATGGTAAGCTCTATACAGGCGGTCCTTGGTTACGCCCTCAAGGACAAACTTAAATACAATTTCATTGCTTCAAATATCCCTATAGAGGAGTTCGAACTTACTATTCAAACTCAGTACTATTTTCAATAAATCCTCGTAACTGTCCTCTTAATAATAAATGTCTCACTGAATCATTAGTATACCAATACTCATCTCTTGAGGATCTAGACAACGAAAAATCTACACTGGATGCACAAGACATTCAAGAGTTCAAAAAAACGGTTCAATCAACATCAAAGTTCTTTTAGGATAAATAAATACCGAAATCAGACGTCCCTATCTAAATATTCCTGGCACTTAAAAGAAACCAATAAAACACCTACTGTGAAATGGAAATCAATAAGAAAAGCTAGAATATGTAGGTCATTTAATGACCCATGTCTTTTGTGCATACATGAGAAACTATATATTACTAGGTTTATAAAAAATAAAAAATTACTTAATCAAAGAAATGAAAGAGATATTCTTTGCCGACATTGTCAACATTTTTCCTTAAATAATGTTTTAAAAAACGTTGATAAATGAAATAAACATATTTATATTATGTATACAAGTACAAATTTAACTGTGGAAAAAAGTGCCAAAAAACTTTTTTTCGTCGATAAAGACCTGACGACATGCGTTGAACGGATATCATCATTTGTTGGAAAAGGCACCCCTAACTTGACTCAACCTCTTTTCGAAAGTAACTCATATTTTGATATAATATTTGTCAGTGAAAACGAATACCCTACCATCCCTTGTTAAAATGATTAGATTAGAAACTAATGTTATGAATGTATGTGCTTATAAACTCAGTAAATTTCAAAATAAGTTATTCCAAAATTCTCTTGAAAATGAAACAGGACTAGGGAATTTAATTTAATTCTATAATTGACGTTTTTAGTTTCTGTTTTTGAAGGATGGTAATTCCTGTGTAGCGATGGAATCATATTTTTAAATTAGTAAATTTTTAATATTTAAGCCATGTAGATTTGCATTGAGCAGTTTTTTAAAAATAAAAAATATTAATAGGAACACCAGATTATATATCTTACTATTTTCTTTTTTTTATTATAATATATATATATATATATATATATATATATATATATATATATATATATATATATATATATATATATATATATAACGACAGATAACGATTAGAATAATATTGTCCTGATTTTCGACTGACCAAATAAACCTCTTCGCAATTTTTTTTCTCTCAGATTTCTACAACTTGAAAAAAATGAATTTCAATAAACAAACACTTTTAACCAAAAATATACTAGCAACCACACTAAAATAACTAAATACACTAATAGAAAAAATTAAATTCATTTGCCTAAAGAAAAAAAGGTAAAAAAAAAAAAAAAAAACTAGGAAGACGCTTGTAGTAAAGAACAACGAATGACTGATTAATGTGTAAGTAGACGACCGGTGATGGCGGTGGGGGGGGGAGCCCATAGGAAATCAAGAGAAAAATGCTGATAATGAAGACAAAAAAATCTAAGAGATGAATAAATGGTAAAGACCGGGGCGGGGATCGTAGTAAAAGTGGGGGTGCGGATGATGGCGAAATGGTAGACACGAGAAATGGCGGATGAAGATGATGCGGACTGGACGTCGTTTTTTTCTAAAAGCCTCTTGTCTAGACGAGAAAATTGAAAGGACATTAGTTTCTTATTTTTATGAAAAACATATTTAGATACTTAAATGGATAGGGATGTAGACATGACCAGAGAAGCTCATATACGTAGCTTGATTGGTAAGCTGAGATGAACAGTTTGAGATAGATACGAACAAGTAGATATAGATAGATAGATAGATAGATAGATAGATAGAGAAACTTTTTTCAGTATATTTAATGCCAATAATATTTAATAGCAAATCTTTTTGTTTTGATAAACAGTAGATCAGTAGATATCTGCTTTTTTGTTTGCTTAAAAAAAGATTGGTAGTTCCTGTCTACAAGAGAGTGAAAAATGTAGACAGGGGAGGCCGTTCCGAGTGTCGAAAATGCAAAATTCGGATTTACAGAATAGTCAAAACGAGAGACACAGGTTCATCCTTCACGCGTGTCCAAAATGCCTGGAAGTAAAGAAAGAAGAATATTAGTTAATTAAGGCACTGTAAACATTTGGTCTCTTTTTCGGCATATTCTTAACTCCAATCGATAGGACAAGTTACTGTTTTAATTATGTTCTCCACAAACAACACAATAAAGCCACTCAGACGAAAGGAATTACAGGGTTGGGAAAGAATATGATAAAATCCATTATTATGGAGCAAAACAATAAAACAGTAGCAATTAATAAGATAACAGCTGACATTGCATTTAAATTTTGGAAGATGAAGAACCCGGATGAGAGTGAGACATAAAAAAAATGATTGTTACATAGAACATGCGGTTACATCTCGCCATTTCAACTGTAAACTGGTGAGACCTCCCTGCCAACCTAGTACTGCGCTTAAATTCATAAAATCTAGATATCATGGAGGAAAACTTATCAAAGCAATTATCATGAAAGCATTTATCAAAAAGGCACACGGAAGCTTTGTTACGGCGATTGGAAACTGACTGAAGCTGATATGCCAGATCAAGTCAAAGCAACAGATCTGGAAGCAGAATTCAACGAATGATCGAACGATAGACTTATAAATATGTCAGGTAGATTCTGTCAGGAAAAATTGTCTCGCATGACAGAGTGAAACAACATTCCTAGCAACAAACCTAGCAATTGATTTAATATAATCTTTCTACTCGACTTGGATTGAGGAATCGGAGAGCCGAGTTCGAATTGCAGTCGGATCCATTGCATTCACTTACGTGCTAATACCCTTGAGAAAGGTATGAATCCTCTTCTTCTTCTCCCCCCTCCCCAGCTATGAGTAAATAACAGGACAGACTGGATTCTATAGCATTCAGTGGAAACCGGTCTAGGAGAAGAAAAAACTCTGATTTCAGAACCTGCATGGAGAGCGTTGGGCTCCTCAGGCTATCTTGCCCAAGAAACACCAATTCTACTGCGGCTGCAGTACACATGGTTCCCCAACACACCTATGGGTCACAGGGATTAAAGAAATCTTTCTACTTCATGTCAGTTGAAAACGTTACCTCGATAATGCTGATGATAGAAAAAAAAGGCTTCTCTCAGCTGATTAAGAGAGAGCAGTTATGTTTTAAAGTTAACAATCCATTCCTTGTTCCAGTTAACAACAGATTGTAGGTCATTTTTGTCATTATCGAACCAATTGTACTTACTATTAAGACAGGAGCAAAGAGTGTTGCCATCAAAATAGATGCAGATTTGAAAACTGAAGATTTCAGGAAAAACGTTGATGTTAAAATAGGAACAACGTAGGTCAAAGGATAGACCCCTGGGGGTGGGGAGACACCTATATTAATGCAAAAAGATTTAGAAGAGTGGCCGTTTCAGATAACTTTGAAAATATAGCAAGAAAACGGCGACTTACCTCATCAAACCAAGCGATAGCGCGTCGCGTGTATCTTACGACGAAAAATGTGGCGAAAAAGATTACTTACTAAAAAAAAACAAAAAGAAAAAAAAAAAGCACGTATTCCGCATGACATGCTGAAGACGGAATATTTAAAATAAAAAAACAATTCCATCGCAGGAGTCGCTGTAAACGTATTTTAATATGCAAAAATTGGGCGTCTTCTCCCAGCTGTCGACGAAAGGAAAAAATGCTTGGTTGATAAAAGCAGTTGGTGTTCTCGAATCCGGAAAAACAATTGGCGTATTTCGGCTACCGCGTTCATCAGAGAATGAATTAATTTTCTGACTGGTTACGTGCATTGGGATTTGTGAGATAGTACTTGCGAATTGAGCTTTCGGCATTTCTTTTTGCCCCCACCCCGGTTCGAATCTGAACTTACAGTGATTTGTTCCCTGCGTTGTGGAATTAATCTGCGACAAATATTTCCTTTGCTTTCAGAACGCCTACAGAAAACAAAGATTAAATCGGTTAAAAATTTCGTCCATATTAGTTGTGAAGAGGACCAACATTCCCAAAGCAGTCAAACGCCTTCAAGATATCTAAAGCAACAGCTGGAGCTTGAACCATTCTTATATAGACGTTAATAGACTATTTCAACTATGATCGTTAATATATCAGCAGTTGATCAAGAGAAGCGAAATTTGTATTGCTTATCTGAAAGAAGACCCTTTGATGCGAGATACTTAACCAATTCATAGTTAATTACAGCAACTGGTACTTAGGTCAAAATCCCATAGAAGGCTAATAGTCGAACAGTTAAAAGGATCAAGACGGTTCTCCTAAGTTCTAAAATACAATAGAAGAGGATTTCCGACAAGCAGGAGAACAAGAAACAGCAAGGTATATAGATAGATAGATAGATAGATAGATAGATAGATAGATACATACATACATACATACATACATACATAAGAGACTGAAATAGATACATAGAGAGAGAGAGAGGGGCAAAGATAGATATAAAAACACAGCTAGATAGCTAGATAGCTAGAGGGATAGATATAAAAAGATAGATAGATATTTACAGACTGTGGCAGAGAGATAGATAGATAGATAGATAGATAGATAGATAGATAGATAGATAGATAGATAGATAGATAGATAGATAGATAAGAGACTGAAATGGATAGAGAGAGAGAGAGAGCGACAAAGATAGATAGATATAAAAACAGATAGATAGATAGCTAGCTCGTGGGGTAGATATAAAAACAGAGATAGATAGATAGATAGATAGATAGATAGATATGAATAGATAGATATAAAAACACAGATAATATGTATGTTTTGTATGATTTGCGACCTTAATCAAATATAAGAATTCAGAAGTTAATTCCTTTTCTCTTAATCAAAACGAAATTCTTTAAGTCCAAATTCTGGTTAAATTTACCCTGATGGGCGAATGATGTATTGGGCGCGTGAAGTTTTGTAAAGATTTCCCTTTTATGGCACCATTTAGTCTAATTTAAATTCCTTGATGTTTCACATATGTTTGCTTGAGATATTTCTGTTGGGGATTTTGTAAGGTTTTCGCTATGCATCCTATGTGAGATAATTATGATATTGAAGCAGTTTAAATGAATTTTCAATGCATTTTCTTCATCATGTAATTATTGAAGATGGAAAGTCTAAGTCAACTTATATAGAAACTTTATAATTATTCCAGCTTCTATTTTGACAATGTCAACAGAAGTTTTCGAGATCACTTTTGTAAGTCAATTTTCGATAGACGTTTACACTTAGATGCTTATCATTGTGGTTTATTAAGATATCAAATAATGGTAAAATAGTGGTGGGGGTGGTTGTGTTTCTTAAGTAAATTCGATTCTATATTACTCCACGACAAAACTGCGTCTATAATCATAAAAGATATTTCCTTTCTTCACAAATCTACGTCTGAGGCGATATGTGGTCCTTAAAAAGAGCAGCGATAAGAATAAAACTAAAAACAATAAAAACTGAACGACGATAAATTAGAGATCTACTCACACCGGAAGTCAGAAATCTCATTTTCATTGAAAAATGTGACCGTCATCTGTTGTCATTACACCTTGCAAAATATATATATATATATATATATATATATATATATATATATATATATATATGTCTGAAGATTTTATATATATATATATATATGTCTTAAGATTTATATATATATATATATATATATATATATATATATATATATATGTCTGAAGATTTTAATTTTTTAATATTTTTTTATTGTTCAATATACATATATTAGAGTTCAAATGTTTCAGGATTGTCCCCAAAAGTAGTTGTTTTGTATTTTAAATAAGGGAAAATTATTATACATGGTTAAAAATAAAGGGGGACATGATTTTTTTAGAAATGTTATTATGATAAAAAGCAAAAAAGTCGGTTTCTGATTAAATTTTTCTCTCGTCAAAATATCCTCCTTTAGCCTTGATTACTGCAGCACAAATTTTTGGCATTAGTTGCAAAAGTTTCTCAAAGAATAAGTTCGATAATTGTTTCCATTCTTTTTTCAATAACTTCAAGAAATCTTTTAAATTTTTTTAACCCTTCTGTCAAATACATCCCATGCTAATTTTGTGGGTGGCTTCAAATTTTGAACTGTAGTGTATATATATATATATATATATATATATATATATATATATATATATATATATATATATATATTTTATTCCATATTAAAGCCACCAGTATTAACCTGAATATTCGCAGAGTAGAATTTCAATGAGTGAACCGCAGAGTTTTTTTTTTATTTTGTAAGGAGTAAAGCAAGTTAAGAAAAAATGTGAAGAGATGCAAGGGTGAATAGTGATTTTCCAAGCGTAGCTTGGATGTAGCACAAGGCCGAAAGTATGGGACACCCAGTGGGAATCGAACCCCCGTACTCAGTCGTAATTGTTCTAGCGAGACAAGCTTGTTAATCATTACCGTAAGGACGTATACGCTGGGTTAAGAAGAAAACAGACACAAATAATTCCTAAGATAATGACTTAAATTCCTTTACGAGCATACAAAATATTGTTATGGCTATAAAAATTGATAACGTCATTATCATCAGTCCTCAGAGCCAAATGCGATTGTCTTTTCTTTCTTTTTCTTTTTTAAAGCCTTTTCCCCCCAAGCAAGGCGGGAAGTCGCTAGCACGCAAGGGATTACATAGAGTTGGAGTGAGAGCAAAGAGGAGTGATAGAGGAAAGGATGAAGAGAAGGTTAGGGGATAGATCAGGGCATCTGGAGACGTCGATTGACATTACATTTGAATAGTTGGAGATTATAGCTATCAGGGAAACAGGAAAAGGGGATGGAGTTCCACAGGTAAGAAGTGCGAGACATGAAGCTATTAGAGTAGAAGAGACGGCTACATTTAACATTTTCGACAGTGAAAGGGTGAGAGCCTATTCATGAAGTCTGGGAACCAGCGAAAGCAGCTCATTGGAGCAGTTACCATGAAAGTATTTGTAAAAAAAGAGGGAAGCGACGGCTGATCAGGGCCAATTACATTGCATATCCTTCTCTGGATCTTATCAAGAACCTTGAGACAAGCAGAAGCGGCTACAGACCATATATGGCAGCAATACTCCATGCAAGGGCGAATGGTTGATTTGTAGATCTGAAGGATTGACTCCGGCGCAGTATTCATTCAGGCGTAGCGCCTCTTAGCAAAGAAGACCTGACGGAGCCTATCCATCTCCAAGTGAAACCACAACTGTGGTTCTCCAGCTTGAAGTCTCAGACACATGGACGTTGATTTCACCCGGAGTAGAACTCTTCAGTCAGTTCTTAATTACAGTCGATACTAG